ACTTTGCCCTTTAGAGAACGGGGGCGAGTAGGGCCCTGTGAATTGGAACTAAATTCATCTTGCAATACGTGTTGAAAGAGGATCCATCACCTGGGGTGTTATCAGTAGACCGCCGATATTTAAGTAAGCCTCTATTTTTTTCCCGGTTACCTTGTACTGAATGAAGTTTTATATTTACATTTTACGTTTATTTGATCTAAAACCCGTCATTTTATAGTCTAAGAGAGCCTTTTTCAACATTAATGCCTATTTATGGATATTTTAATTTTAAAAACCTACAATGAGACTAATTTGCCTGATTTATTTCGTCTGTGGCTTCTTTTAACTTTTTTCTTCTGTGACGGCACAACAGACAAGGATGATATTAATTTAAAGTTGCGTTTATCTGTAAGATAGTGAGAAATGAATTTACATGACAAGGATCTTGCGATAAAAGTCTCCATGCCACTACTTCTGACTACGTGTAAAAGCCTGCCTCCGCATCTAAGATAAAGCTATTGAATTTTCTCGAAAGAAAAGTAATCTTGACCAATGAGAGATATTTATTTTCTCTTGAAAACTTGGAGAAAGTATTAGTAATTTATTATGAGGCAAAATACGGTACGAATAATTCTAACCAGAGGACAAACAATTAAACTTGTTCATAATTAGTATTATTGCAATATATATACTACTGATTCTACGTAATATTGATTTGCCATAATGCACTGAAGATCAAAAAAAACTTTTACACCTTCCTAATATCGTGTAGGGTCCTGAGAGCACGCAGAAATTCCGGCACACGACGAGGCACGGACTCGAGTAATGTCTGAAGTGGTGCTGGAAGTAATTTACACAATGAATCCTGCAGGAGTGTCCATCAACACGAGTGATGAGGACGAGGGGTGGAGATCTCTTTTGAACAGCACGTTGCAAGGCATCCCTGATATTCTCAATAATGTTAATGTCTAATATGGATTTTGGTGGCCAGCGGAAGGGTTTAAATTCCGAAGAGTGTTCCTGGAGCCACTCTGAAGCAATTTTAAACGTGTGGGATGACGCATTCTCCTGCCCAAAGCCGTTCGGATGCATAATGAAGGGACGCAATGAATGCCATCGGATGCATAATGAAGGATGCTCACGAATGTGTTACCTGTCAGAATCGAATCTAGTCATATCAGGGGTCCCATATCACTCGAACTGCACACGCCCCATACCATCACAGAGCCTCCACAATCTTGAACAGTCCCCTGTAGACATGCAGGGTCCAGGGATTCACGAGGTTGTCGCTATTCTCGTATACGTATAGCTGTTGGAGGAGCGGTTGGAGTAGCAGTTGTAGTAATACATAGATTGTTGGCAATTGTTGGCCCCCCTTGGAGGGTATTCAAAGCAGTTGGATGCCAGCGCCGTTTTCGACACAGGCTTCCTTGAAGCCTACCTCCGACGCGGGACTGGGGGCCTTTCAAGCAGGCGTACCTCGCGGGCGGTCCGCTGATATGCCTGGGGAGAGACTCGCACTTTCTGCACTATATGTCAGTGTCAGTTAACTATATCCGAACTATCTGTTTGGGAAAAAGTGAGATCTCGTTAGGGCTGGATATTGTCGGACGGATTTAATTTTGCCGGACTTCCGACAGGATTCTTTTGCGTGCTACAAAAGGGACACGGCTACTGTGGATTTTTCGTCCTTTGAAAATTCACGCCCCTCAGCCAGGATCGAATCCTCACTTTTAGGACTTATCAAGGTTACTGTACAAATGTATTATTTAACCCACTCTAACTTACGCATGTCCTGTATGGGGTGGCGTAGCAGTAACCTCCAAACGTTCGTTGCATTACACAGTAAGTTCCTAAGAAATAAATAAATAAAATAAATAAATGTCTTTATTGATGGCGAGGCTCAGGCTATTTAGCCTGCTCTTCCGCCTGAATATAGAGAAACTCCTGACCATAGAGAAACTCCCACCTGACCCCAAGAAAGACCCTCAAGGCTCCGTGGTTTATTCGAAATTCCCATCGCCAGCAAAATATATTGCCACTAAAGGAACACAAGCAAAATAGCTGACCATTTCTATCAAAATCTTTACTCTGCACAATATTTAATCTGAGGCGTCGTGCTTCTCGGCCCCATATTAAATCAAGGTTCCCTATGGATGGACTGAGACCACTGTAACCGGAAGACCACTGTCGGAAGACCATTGGGAACTTCGTGTTAGAGCTTGTCCCAGCTGAGGCGCTGGTGGGAGGTATGTGGTTGGGGAAAAATCCCCGAAAGCCGATGTATGTCGGCGCGGGATCTCGCAATCCAGCGCGGAAGATCACCGCCACCTCCCACGATAAAGCATGCACTACTCTTACAGGAAAAATGACTATCCGTTGACGCGGCCAGAATCACTAATCAATCAAACCCTTATCCCTTTCCTTTGAAACATTCAGTAACAATTGAATGTCATCAAGAATTTTAAAAAAGCTAAATAGCCTGTGCATAATTCAGATTGCAAGAGATAATCAAACTTTTTGTAATAGTGATGATCGTAAAAATTTAAATGGCTGTTACCATTAACTGCAATTGAGGCATAGGAATGGGTTAGTAAAAAACTGTAAGAAGGAAAATAAAGTAGGCTTCTTCCACATAGTTTTCAAAATTGAGATAATTTCAGGAATACATAGTACTAATAGGTGAATTACCTGACATTGACCAAGTATTTATTTATCATGATCTATAATTCTTAAGAGTAGAAAAGAATAAGCTCAATTGAATTAAAAATTGTATGTTTAAGAGCAATGGACTGTGAAATGTTTTGACATGTTTTCTAATTCTAAAAATTGTGAATAAATGTATTTTTCACTCCTTGTAAATGTATTTTTAAAATAAAAATGATTTTTGCTTTCAGTCTAATGAAGCAGATGTGGCCAAAGCTTTGGATGCAGCTCTAGAAGCAGGCTACAGGCACATTGATACAGCATATCTGTACCAAAATGAAGCTGCCATAGGCAGAACCCTTAGGAAGTGGTTTGACTCTGGAAAATTGAAACGTGAAGATCTCTTCATAGTAACAAAAGTGTGTATATGATTTTTTTCTTTTTATCTATCTAATTTGCATTTTGCCTATAATTAAATTTACTTTTACATCAACTAACTTTGTAAAGTGTATTTGTTTTTCAATTAGAAAATATTCTTTGTATGTAATACAAAAGATCTCCTTATTTTCAATAATCAAAATCTGACTTTCCTCTCAGTAAACAAAACCTTAAGAACTTTCTGTGCTATTTTTAGTGTTTTGGGTGTTTCAGTTACCATTGATAGGCAATAAGGCAGAATGTGTTGAAAAATATTTGAAGCGATCTCTGACATCATTACAACTCAGATATGTAGATTTATATTTGATTCATCATCCAGTAGGACTTTTAGAAAAAGGAGAAGAGCTGTGGCCTACCAGTGAAGATGGAAACCTCATGGTGGACAACAATACAGATCATCTGAATCTTTGGAAGGTTTGTTATTTAATGTATTTGTTTAATGAAGTTATAACACTTTCGATCTATTAATCACATAACAATAGTGTATCTGTATGTATCAATGTAGACATGTGACTCACAATATAGCATGAACTTCATTAAATGTCTTATACTTTTATTTGTTTATTAGTTATTTCTATTACACAGTAAGAATGGCATTATTTCCTACGTGATTTCCTTCTGTGATACAAGATTTATCATGATTTGATTGCATAATTTTGATAACATGACAGTTGCTAATAACTATCATGTTAATGAGAATAAAAATAAAATTAATAAAAAATAAAACATTTAGTTATTTTAATAAACAATTTTAGAAATTATTAAAGAGATAAAGGCTGTTTCTAGAACCTCTAAGGCCTATGGATGATTCAAAAATGAGGCACTTTGTACAGACAGACATACACACACACACAAACATATTTTTCATTCATTGATAAATGAACACATATAAATTGTATCTGAATTCCGACCTATAATTAGAGGACTTCAGTGCCAAACCAGAAAAGGTAGAGATTGTATTTTGCTGTTATTTACCCATTGTGTATTAATAAAAGAAAATTAATAATATTTCCATCAGATAGTGGAAAAAATGTTGTAGAAGTTAAGCTCAGTTTAATTTGTTTAGCAATATCAGAGAAGGAAATATTGTTTCCCAAAGTTGTGAGAATCTAATCCTTATTCTGTGCAATGACGCTGCATGGGATCAAACAAACCACTATTTCTCAAAAACTTTTGCACCGAATTTAATCATTTAATGTCATCTGGCAAGGTGTTGTAAAATAATATACATGTATTATATGTGAATTTTTTGTAGTGAGCTGTTGATTGTGTCACCTAATGAATATGATTACTACGTCAAGGGTTGTGGTTATAGACATCATCGTTTGCTGAAAATATATTCCCGTCCTTAAGTAAGTCATTTTTGACAAAAACCACTCATTCATATATCAAGAGACAAAGTAATGATAAAAAATCTAGATTAATAAAGAGAGGCTTAAAATAAAAACGTGGATGGGATTTACATACTATTTGTACAATTCTTTTTAGTAATCTAAAAGTCTGGGAGCTATAAGATGTATTTCCTCCAAATAGTATGCCATATCTCGGGTGAGAATGATCATTTGTGAAATATACTCAATGAGCAGTATGCTGGCCGACTAATTTGAAAAGAATTCTGAAAGCGTAGCATAAAGAACTTAATTTAGTGTTCAATTCATTGATATGTACGTTCCATTTAAGGCTTGACTGAATTGAAAGATCTAAAAATTTTGCTACCTTAACGTCAGTCAATGACACACCATTCATATTATAAGACAGAAATAGAACAAACTGCATATTTATTTCTTTTTACAACAAAACTAAGCATTTCCTTAACAAAATTAATTTTTCATTAATTTAATTTATCTTCTACTCTTTATACATTGATGGGTATATGCAATTATTGGAATTTGATTTATAATTTCCCTTCAATTTGAAACTGCCAAAAAAAGTTACTATCCAAAAATTGGATTTATATCAATATCATACAATACAATTAAAAGCACTATAAATGCAAATAGGATCAATTTCCAACTTGCACGACGTGTATACGTATTCTGAAATATGTGATGTTAAACTGTCACAGAATCACAAATTTGATAGCTTCATAAATATAAACAGTTCAAATTAGACAATTCCAATGTAAAATAAACAGCTATAATACAATAAGCAGGTCTTCAAAAAAAATGAATTTCAATTTTATTGGACAAAATCTCTTTAGTCAATATTTTCTAAAATATTGAAGACTTTTATATATGAAAATGAGAATATTTCTTAGTAAATTCAAAGCATTTTTGGATTATCAACATGGGTTTCAAATATCAAAATCTACAGATAAAGCCATATTTTCATTTCATAAAGATGCTGATTTATCAATGGATCAAAGTGAAGCACCTAATGCAATTGTTTAAGTGTAGCACAATAACAAATGAGACCCAAAATTTGTGCTCATTTCCTGTTGCAAATAGTTATTCTTGCATTAAAGCAAATATTTTTTGTTATCAAATTTTTCCAAAAATTTGGCTTTTTCTACCTGCTTTCATACTTTGCATTAGCATTATTCTACAACAATATAATAGTAATATAATATTAATATTAAAACCATACATGATATCAATTCTATTAGCAACTACATCAAATTTAACAATATTAGTACTTTCTATGTTTAAAACTTGAAATGGTGAGGAGGAGGTAGGTTTTGACTAGTTGTTTTAATAATAATAATAATAATAATAATAATAATAATAACAATAATTTTAATAATTGTGTAATTAATAATAGTAATAGAATAATTAATATATATAGTAAAATATTTCCCGATAACATTGAACGATTAAAATTGGTGCACAAGTAAACTCCTGAATCCATGACCTGCTTCACAGAAACGTATTTGGTCCAGTATTATTGTAATTTACAATTGTTTCAATGTGCTAATGCTGAGACAGCCCCTGTTTTGCATTAGGACATAAATGCAGTTTTACCATCAGTGAATGTTTTCTTGAGTTCTTTGGGATGTTAGTGGGGAATATAGTTATTTCATGAATAACACCATTAAAGCCAAAAAGGAGCAAAATCTGTTGCTCATTTGCTGTTTGCAAATAATTTTTATTACATTAAAAAGAATATTTCTTGTTATCAGATTTTGCCAAAAGCAAGTGTCCATTCCTGCATTTATTATTTGGCTTCTTACAATAAGAGTAGGGCAAATAAGTAGGCGTGGTTTGGTCCATCCTTTCTTACATTTGACTGTTTCTTTGTAAATACAATGTAGTAAAATATAAGCATATTAAGTAAAATATATGCATTAAAATAATATTTTCAAAAAAATAGATTTTAAAAAGTGTACTTAAAAACAATATACCTGCCAGTATTTAAATATGATCCATTTTTTACCTGAAGAATCAGTTTCCAGTGTAATGAAACAGAGACATACTTACAATGACAAATACAAATAACTTATAAATAAATACAACAATGACAATAACAAATAAATACAAACAATGACATACTTACAATCACTATGGCTGTGATTTTGTGCCAATTTAAATATGTGTGCATATTACATTCTTTACAAAATTAAAAACTAGGAGAAATATGAAAGCTGAAAAGTTACATGTGAAAACAAAGCTTTACCTCCCTCCCAATATTTCACCAATTTAATCATACATTAATGTATGATATTGCATGGTTCATTTGCCAATTTAATGCATACAATTATACATAATGAACCTCAGTAATTAATTTAATTTCTAGCTTCTTTTTTAAGTAAATCTTAGTCTTGAAAATTATCTGTTCTTCGTGTCTGTTACATACACTTAATTTCAGGAAGTTTCTTAAAGTTAATTTTTTCTACATTTGTTATCTTTTTAAATTAATTTCTGAGTTTGATCAAATCATTCAAATTGCTACAAATCTGCCCTAATCCCAAATATCATTATCATTATTTTCATTACCATTATCATCATCATCATCATCGTCATAAACTGCAGGTGCTAGGCCTGTCACCTGTTCCTGTTTCCCAGTAGACCAGGAGGCTTACACCTTCAGGTGTTCCTGATCTAGCCATTTCTTTTATGGTCTTCTCGCATCCCTTCGCCCTATTGGCTTGTACTTCAACACTGCTTTAGGGATTCTTTCTCGTTTCATTCTGTTAATGTGAGAGAGACATTTTCTCTGTCCATCCTTTATTGCTTTTACTATATTTTTATCCTTACTTCTTTGCCTATCCTTTAGTGTCACTTCAGCAAGATGACATAGGAATCTTATTTGCATTTCCTCTAGTCCTTGTTGCTCACTAGTTTTCATTGCCGAGACTTCTAAACTGTACATGAGAATTGGTTTAGATATCATATTGTGGATTCCTAGTTTGGTCTCTTTAGTCATATCTCTTCCAAAGTGTCTTTTAATTAGTCCATTCATCATATTGTATTTTTGAGATTTGTTTTCCATGTCTTCCAATCTCTGTCTAATGAGGGGTTTTCATATAAGACAATTCATATAAGACAATTCATATAAGACCTCTTCATATAAGACAATTTTCACTTCTCATATCTTTTCCTTGATATGCCCATTGCTTTTGTTTTGTTTGTGGAAATTTCTATATTATGTTTTTGTGCTATTTTGTACATTTCATGTGCTGCAATTTGTAAGTCATCTTCTGATTCCATTCTTAAGACTATGTAACTAACGCCAATTAATTCAGATAATTCCACTGTACTTTTGTAAGATGTGAAGCTGGCAAGTAGTAAAACATAAAATTTAACCTATATGTGATAACATTAAAATTTTAAAAATTGTCACCTATAATTATATTTTAGGTTGACATATTACATATAAAAATAGTGAAATGTGCATTGGGCCTGAAAGTGAGATAGTTTGTTACCAAGTGTGGATGGCACAGGAAGAAGAGATGAGACCTTTGTATCGTGTTATGGCTGTTGCTGAATGACCAGAAGTTTCATATTGTAATTGAGTTCACAAGGTCCTACAATTATTAGTGATGAGAGAAGTTTTCAGTTTTCTATTCTTCTAGGATTTAAAACCCATTCATTAAGTAAATTACTTTTGCTACTGACTTACAGATATCTTTAACTTTATAATCTTTAAATATTTAAGTTCTTTGGATATTACAATGAAATATTTTGTTGTTATTATTACTGTTGTTTTTATTATTATTACTATTACTATTGGAAGTTATTATTTTTAATATTACTATTAGAAGGAAATGAGGAATAATAAGAGAAGTGTTGGTGAACAGTTCAATTTGTGATAATGAACACCACTGTTTTGTCACAGGCAATGGAAGCTCAAGTTGATGCTGGTCGAGCTCGTAGCATAGGTTTATCCAATTTCAGTTCCCGCCAAGTAAAACGTATTGTACAAAATTGTCGAATTCAACCAGCAAACTTGCAAATAGAACTGCATGTATATTTTCAACAACGAGAACTCGCAGCATTTTGTAGAGCACTTGACATTTCAGTTTGTGCCTATGCTCCTTTAGGCTCTCCTGGACTTGTAGAATTTTTAAAAAACAGAGGGACAGATACTTCTAGGTAGGTTTACATTTCTATATACTATTTACTAAATTATACTCAGCACATTGAAATAATTTGTTTTTTATTTTCAGTGTGCCTAGCTTATCTCCAATGTCTGACCCTGTAGTTAAAAAAATTGCCCAAAAGCATAAAAGAACCCCTGCACAAGTCCTATTGAGACATATCATTGAAAGGGGAATTGTTGTCATTCCTAAGAGCATCAATCCAAATCGAATGAAAGAGAATATTAACGTAAATATTTAATTTGTTTTATATTATACATTTTAAGTGACTTTATATAGTGTTTGTGTTACATAAAAGACTGTTGTTTTCTTTGATTATTTTTTACCAGATTTTTGACTTTGAACTTACGGAAGAAGATGAACAGGAGCTCTATGCTTTAGATAAGGGTAGTGCTGCACGAATGTTCAGTGACAGAGCAGCTAACAGGTAAAGAAGTATGAAGTTATGTACTACTAATGTAATGTGCACCCTTCTCTTGGAATTCTGATTTCTGTCAATAGTAGGCAACGCAAAATATCACTTGTCAATCAACACACCCACAATGAAATGCTTTATAGCAAATGAATGAAAATAAACAATAAAATGTGTTGCAATGAGACAGAAAGGAATCTGAATTAATCACATTATACATTTTATTCTGCAGACTATAATAATTAAAATATTTCTTTTAATTAGCAAAGAAAACAAATTTTCTTACATTCCATCTAGTTCAAAAATCAAAACCATAACAAAATCAGGGTCAGATTCAGAGATGTATTTTGGGAGGGAAAATTCAAAATGTTTCGGTCGAAGGTGTCCTATCACACATCTGTTAAATATATAACAGATTTTGTAAAATGTCACAGGCTATATTAGTTTATGCAGCAATATGATTTTACTTCTTTTAATGATAAAATGATAATGATAAAATATTTTTGCTTGAAAGTTTTGTGACAAGTTAAAATTAATAGATACTGCAAAAATTTAGGGGGGAAATTTCTCTCCCTGTGGATCTGCGCCTGACTAAATCAAAAGTATTCTTAGAGAGTGGTAAAATCAGGAAGATCAGAAGGTGAGAAGGAAAGATTACCTATGAAGATAATTGTATAAAACAATTTCTATACAAAGAAAAAAAAAATAAAATGACACTAATATGAGAATAGTAAACATTTTGAAGTTCATAGGTTAATTCCTGAACATCTACAAAATTGATCATGTAAAGCAGGTAGACCAAGATACAATTAAATCTGGGAATAGAAATTTAAAACTTTTAAAACACTGATAAATTCTGTTACTGTTTGTGTGAAAAGTGATATTATATTTTCAATTAAACAACCCTTCTTTTCATATTTGGCATATTCTCAGCAATTAATTGCCTTCTTTTCTTGGCATCTAATTTTCACTGTAAGTTTTTGGATTTCAAAGGAAATCTGGATCTTTGCTTTCAGTATCAGTGCCTTGAATAATATTCTTCTCTTCCTGTCTCTTTAACATTTGCGACATAATACTGTCTTTAGGATTTCCAAAGATGTTTCTCTAAAAGTAACATATTTGCAGGACATTTACAGCAGTTTTCCTGAATATCTTTCAAAATGTCTATCAAAACAGTCATTTTTGGTCATTTTTACTTTCAGATGAAAAATGTTGAAAATTTATTTTTATGTACACACTTGATGTGTGAAATCTACACATGAAATGTGTCTTTTTCACAAATTTCCTTACTGATTGTCAAAAATATAAGGATATTTATCTTATTGTTAATGAATTTCAGTAATAAAAATTGTTACTTTTTTTTGTATTATAGATTCCTGGGACATCCTGAAAATCCATTTGCTGATAGGTACTGAAGAAAATACTGAACTATAGGAGCAATTAGAGGAAAAAATACAATAACAAAACAAAAAAAAATGTGAAACAATTTTCATGTACCACAATTACAGAGCAAACAAAATACAAATTTGACACAAATATAACTAAGTTCAATGAGTGATATTGTAGTTATGTGAAATGTAGAAAACAAAAAATTATCATGTTAATATTACTGTCTCAAATAATTCATATAACTATTAAAGGAATTACTGAAATATTTTGATTATTTAGTATTTATTACAGCTAATGAATAAAGAATTAATGAATGCTCAAAGTAATTGATACTCAAAATAGCAAAACATAATTGTAAGTTTTTAAAAAAAAAATTTTATTGTTGTTATGTTGAAACATTTAGATTCTATATTAAGTATTGTAGTTACTATGTGATATTTTTCTATTATAAGTGGAATAAAAATAAACTTTTTTCTTGTTCAAGAAGGAAAATATAAAATTCTTTTAGACCCTTGTTCAGATGAAATCAAAAATATAAATAGGATCTTTCCATTCGCTACAATTTTTAATAACTCATTGGTAAAATTTGTAATTGAAGGAAAACAAACGAGTTTCGCGAACGAGTTTCTCGTTTTTTTGTTTTTCCTTTTGTGGTTTCTTTTTTTTTCCTCTTTTTTCGCATTCTTCTTCACATGTTTCACTTTTTCGTTTCTCGTTTTCGTTTCTTGTTTTTCGTTTCTCGTTATTCGTTTCTGTATTTTCGTTTCTCGTTTTTTGTTTCACGATTTTCGTTTCTCTTTTCTCGTTTTTTGTTTCTCGTTTTTCGTTTCTTGTTTCTCTTTTTTTCGTTTCTCGCATTTCGCTTCTCGTTCTTCGTTTCTGGTTTTCGTTTCTCGTTTTTGTTTCTTGTTCTTCGTTTCGCGTTTTTCGTTTCTCGTTTTTTCATTTTCTCCTTTTTGTATCGTTTTTCGTTTCTCGGTTAACGTTCCGTTCCAAATCTGTTATTCATTTCTGTATTTATTAATATAAATCTATTTTTTCATTTGTAGTAGTATATTCAAAATACGAACAATTCCGCGTCCTCATTAGGCTGGTCAATTTTTGCATCTCCCGTTCAGGTTGGACTGCCCCCACTAGTTCTTGTTCGGGTTCCCCTTTCGTGATTTCATTTAATTCGGCTCCGGCATTAACACTGATCTCAATATCCTGGTTCCCTTGAACCTCGTCCGCCACCAGATGCAGAAATTGTTTCCTCATTACCTTCAGACTGCAAAATTTAAGAACAATTTTTTTTCGAGTCTTCATTTCGATATTATTATACTTCTTTCAGTATTAAATTTGCTTGGCGTAATTTCCATATCAAAATTAATAACTTACCTTTCCTTAAACAAACAAGATGGCTGGAATTTTTTTAAAATCAACTGGCTGATAATTACACATCAATTTACACAAGAACTTCCAGGAATTCACCATCTCAAGCCTCGCGTTGTAGCACTATTTGTAATGTTTTTTATGATTTCAATAATTTAATCTGACGAACTTCCCCTAATTAATTACTTTATCATGCTCCAAGTTGGGCAGCAACTGTAAGGTTTTTATGATTCTTTTAATGTAATTTGCTCTGCTATGCTCGTAAATTATTGCTGTAATGACTAATATTTTGGCTTGCTCTGTTTTATGTAAGATCTTGCATGGGTTTGACGTACAACATGTGTCACCTTACATATTGCACTAATATGAGTCACTCTATACAGAAATCACGATTCCTGAAAATTATGTGGAATTTACTTATTACTGGATTGATGGCAATTCAATGAAATATCACCCCTATGCTTTCCAAACAACAATTAACATTTATTACATAATTCTTATGACATGTTTTTGAGATTATTAATTAATGATTCTATGGCCTTGAAACATTATTAAACCGTACGGTTTTGATAAAGTTCGTAAGCTTACTGGTTGTGTTCTCGATTGATTTGATGCCGCCATCTTCTCCAAAAGGGGATGTTCTGCCTCCTTCTGTAGTGTAGTTTGAGCCTATTTCTCGTGTTAACTTTGAAAGTTACCCGACTGTTGCTAACAATTTTGTCCACTATTCGGAGATCCCTAAATTTGTTTTAATATTATCGTGTCGCTATTCCATTCAGACTTACATTCAGCAAGGCCCGCACGCCTAGATTTTTATTATTGTGTTCGTACGCTGTGCGTATTCCCTAGATTCTAACATTCTCGATGCATCAATTCCCCTATTACACACGTGTGACATTCAAGTGTCACAATAAACAAAAACAAGAAACGAGAAAAGAAAAACGGTAGACGAAAAACGAACGACGAGAAACGAGAAACAAAAAAGGGCAAACAAGCAACTAGAAACGAAAAACGAGAAAAAAATGAGGAACGAAAACAAGAAATGAAAAACGAGGAACGAAAAACAAACGAACGACGAGAAACGAAAAATGAGAAAAGAGAAACAAAAAATACCAAAGAAAAACGAATATCGATATACGAAACACGTGAAAGGAGAAATAAAAAACGAGAAGCGAAAAAGAAAGAACCAGAAACGAGAAACGAAAAAAAGAGAAACGAGAACCGTAAGACAAGAAACAAAAAAGGAGGAAAAAGCAGAAACACGAAAAACAACAAAAAATAATAGCGAAAAATGAAAAGAAGAAACGAAATCAATAAATGAAAAACGAAAAAACAAAAAACAGAAACGAAAAACGAGAATTCAAATACTAGAAATATAAAACGAGAAACGAAAAGCGAAAAAGGACAAACGAAGAGAGACGAAATAATGAGAACTGGCAAACGAAAAACAAGAAACAAAAAACATGAAAAAATACGAGAAACTAAAAGCGATAAACGAAACAAAACAAAAACATAATCGAAAACTAAAAACGAAGAAACATACCGGAAATCGAGAAACGAAAAACGAAAAAAAACACGTGAAATGAGAAATAAAAAAACAAAAAAAAACGTGAAACCAAAAAAGATGAATGAGAAACGAAAAGCGAAAAAAACGAAAAACGTGAAACAAAAAATGAGAAACGGGAGACATGAGAAACAAACGAAAAACGAATAACAAAAAACGAAGAACGAAAAACTGCAATGAGAAACATTAAATGAAAAACCAGAAACAGAAAACGTGAAACGAGTAAGGAGAAAGAAAAAAAGGGGGGAATTATACAATGCTGCCGGGGCTTTTGAAATTAGATATAGTCGCAGGGACTATGAGAATAATTGTTCAGTCTTAAATGAAGTTTCTGGTTATATAAGAGCCTGCATGTAATTGCAATTTTCTCTACTGCTATTTCGAAGAAATTGACGTTTATGACGAAAGATTAGGGATTTTCTGAAAAAATTAACTTCAAATGGAATAATGGGTATAATCTGTGTATTCGTCATTAAATTTCGTTCTAGTACCCTGGTTTTCAGAAAAATCCGTGTCATGTCGAAATTCTAAAAATTTTGTCGATCGCCGAAACTATCCATTTTTAACACAAAAAAGAAAAGCCCATATCTCAGAAACTATCCAACATATTTCAATTATAGAAACCCTGTCTTGTTTCGAAATTACTGTAGTTTCAGAAAATGGCATCATCTATCATATACGGATGAGAAATGCGTGCTCTGGTAACATTGACCTAAAAGCATGGATTTTCGAATTCTCAACGCTTTAAAAATAACAGTCAAATTCAATATGCTCTATCTCCTAAACTATTAAAGCTACAGCAGTGAAATAGCACAGGAGATTGTACGTACTCTACTCTTTAAGTCAGTCTTAAATGAAGTTTTTAGTTATATAAGAGCCTGCTTGTAATTGCGATTTTCTACACTGCTATCTGGAAGAAATCGACGTGTATGACGTTCATTTTGCGATTTTCTGAAAAAATAAGCTTCAAATGGAAAATGGTTATCACCAGTGTATTTGCCATGAAATTGTTTTCTACGACCCTGGCTTTCGGAAAAATCCGTGTCATGTGAAAATCAGTCCATCTGTATGTCTGTCCCCGTCCGTCTGTTTGTCTGTCAATCTCTCTATCTGTCCGTCTGTATGTCCGTCCGTCTGCCTCTCTGTCCATATCTCTACCTGTCTGTGTTCTGCCTGTCTGGACCATGGAGAAATGATACTACTGCCTTAGTCTATGCCTAAACCGTGTAGCCGATTTCTCCGAAACTGAGCCATCTAAAACTAGCAGCGCCCAGAAACCAATTTTAATAGAACTGTATCCAAAATTTGTGGCTAATTAAATGTTATATTTCCGAATTTTATACTCTTTTGGAATTTTCCAAATCGTGGGGGCTGATAGCTTCAGACTAGAAAATCCATCTAAAATCAATTCAAATATATGAAACCACATCCAAAATTTAAGGTTAATTTCAGGCTCAAGGATAAAACTTATTCCTCACTTATATTTAAAAAATCAGGTCTTTACAAAGAGATTAACAATTAACATTGGTTCTTATGGACAAATAAACACCAAAACAAAGAACCTTAGAAACATTCTGAAGCCCTACCCAAAACCTAACGCTAATTTGAGGCTCTTAGAAAAAAAATATTATGCGTTTTTTTTTCCAAAAAGAAGCAACATAAACCGACATAAATACCATAAAAAGTAGTGTGTGAATTGATTCGAAATTTTACCAGTTATCCTGCAGGATTGTCTTTTTTGGTAACTTGTCCAGTGTGGTTGGTAAGTTTGGTAACCATTACTACATCAAATGCGGAAAAGAAATAATTTAAATAATATGCTGGTAGATGCATCACTACCATTTTTCACCTATCGCCAGGAGCACGTAGTTCCCAATATATTCCGCCAGAGGCCATCAGCGGTACGGTAGAACTGGTATGTAATAAGTTGGCTCCTATTAGTATAATCCGCCAGAGGCCAGTAGTTGTGCAGCAGAACTAGTACCATTTGAATCGCTAGAGGCCAGAAACAGTGTGTAAGATATACATTTTTTAATATAATAGCAATGTACTGTAAAATAAAATGAAAGAATATTAAAGTTTTTTAAAAGTTTGAACCAATTGCAACTAAAATAAAATAATAAACGCCGTGATTTAAATAAAATTGGTATTTTTGCTCTTTCGCAAGGATTGAATATGAAGAAAGCCCGAGTATTTTGCTTGTGATGTAGTTCAAAAATATTTTGAACTACAGAGTTCCCAGACAACGAAGTTACGCGCTGAAAATGTGTTCCATATTTCTAATGGTTCCCATTGGAAATTTTAAATTAATTTTAAACTATTGTTAGACTGATTTGCAAGGGAGAAGAACAATTGAGTTCATAATTGGTTCAATTTTAGTAGTAGATATTACTGACCATCAAAAAGAAAAATATTTATTGTAACAATTATAAAATACACAGAACATTAGTTAACATTTGTACTGTATAATTCTAAAAATACTCAATGTGCATGTAATTAATAATGTACTTCCGGGTACTTGTGGGTCAATGACCACCATTTCGGTCAGGTTTT